TCGCAATTGGGATACGATGACATGCATCAACCAAGTCAGCAAGCCTGACCGCCTCAAATGCTTGTTCTTCTTAGGGAAATCATGGGTTTGCTGAAGACCTATTCTTACCCGGATGTTCAGGGTAGAATTTATTGGTAGATTTGTCACAAATGTGTGACAAACATCCCGATTCATAAGACATTGAGGTATGTTATATAACATTTGTCAGCACGAGTCCAGCTTAACCTAGCAGCCTGCATATTGTCTCAGTCTTTCTTGTCTTTTGATCTTTTAATCCAAATTTATGGACAATCCATTGATCATATGTGAAATACAGATGACTTTCGCTTAAATAAGCTAGTTTATATCTTCGAAAGGAGATTGTTTGTTTTTAATTTTTTAATTTTATCTAAAATATCAAATAATGAATGATTAATTTTTGTGCCCTAAATGAACTTCTCTACAACCATCCCAGCCTCAATCTTTGAAGTTAATTGTTGGTTCAAGAAAACAAACTGTAAGGTCTGGCTAGATTCAGTAGAGGTCCGTTTGTTGGAAGCCTGTGTTTGACTATGTCCTGTCCAATGTTTAGCCCCTCGAGGGCAAAGATGTTCAGACCCAACTGAAGGGTCAGCCTGACTGCTGCAGGCTGCGCTGTGCAGCATCTGGAATCTGTTGAAGAAGCTGACAGTAGCTCATGCAGCCATGACATTCCCGGAATGGTAGCCTCGTGCAGTGCAAGGCAAACACGTCTGTTTGATCAACATCACCAGGCACATATGGTTAAATTAAATATAATCAAACATTGGCTTTGTGATGTGGTTGAGAATGTTTTGGACTCATGGAAGTTATTTGATTCTTGGGTTTTGCCTAGCAACCATAATAAACAACAAATACAATTTGCCTGCAGTTATACATGGTGGTAATGAATATGGTGTAAAACACATAGATTTCTGATGTTGAAGTTAGGGAAGGCTAACTTTAAATAAAACATGATTTATGGTCAAAGTTAAATTCAGATGCTTTGTTTCTATGAAGGATAAAAAATGTCTAGGTCATGACCCATTCACTTACTGACATAAATTATTCGAATTTTGTTTATTGTTTCGTCAACATAAAACTATTTCAATGAATTTATTTTCACACTAAATTGCTAACTCAGCATAAGTCCTATTTCCCTTAATCTTGTTACCTATGAAACAAAACAATCTGTTCTGTGTGCTTGTGTGAAATAGTTCCTGAGTTGGGTAGGGAAATTAGGACAACAAATACTGCTAAACCAGGGGATAATGAGCTATGAATGTTTAATGTCCAGTAAACACAGGATAAAAGCCACCAAGTTGGCCTGAGATCAGTCCATCACTTCTGGTGATACACAAGTGGCACATTCCAGGCAGCCTATGGTAACTACCCCCTCCACACAGTGACTGACCAGGATAGGGCCTGACAGGAGGACTTCAGTGTGGGGCTGCTGTCAGGGTGATGCTGGCTGGTGGCTGCTGGCATGGGGGAGGACTAGTCAGGCTAGTGCAACAGGTATTACTGCTGCAATAAAGGTTCTTCTGAGAAGGAAAGTCAAGCCTTGAGTGGAGGTCATGCTGTTTTGCAGTAGGGTACATTGGAGTGTAAGGACCTGTTGAATTAGAGCTCTGTATTTGGCTATATGTTTTTGGTGAGAGGTTAGATGTGTGTCCTTCAACAATATGTTTGCATGTCACATGTTTGTGATCAATGTTTAGGGAGGTCTTGATTAAAGAAAATATTCAACTTGTCAAAAGTGCTCCGGAGAGTGTGGTGGAAGTGTCTGAGTGGGGCATTCATGTTAAACTGTGACATGGTATCTCAGTGAGCTAGCATATAAAGTCGGCATTAGTCCAGCCAAGTACAAGCACATGCACACACGCACGCACGTGCATGCACATCGCTAATAAGTGAAATTACTAAATGTCAGTCAGAACACTGTCATCAGACCCGGGGGTGGGACATTCTACTGCCCTGGCATCTAGCAGTTCCAAGACTGGTAGAATTTGATATTGTTGTTTATATTTTTTGTCCACTGACCAGTAAATAATTGCAAGTTTCACAATTTTAACGGATTAGGGGGCACGGGTGGCCCAGTCGTCTGAGGCGCCGTGATTCGCTGTGCAGAGTTGCGTCCCTTGGGCATGCCAGAAACCTATGATTGTGGGTTCGAATCCCGCTTCGCCCCGATTATGTTTCTAGGTTTGTCAGCACCATACCCGTGCTCGTGGGTTTCACTGAAGTGGTAAACGTCTAAGACCTGCATTACTTCGGGCTTTCCTCCCACATTAAGCTGACACGCCGTGATATAACTGGATTACTGTTAAGAGAGGCGTTAAACCCAACTGACTCACTCACTCACTCACTTTAACGGATTACTTTGTGTTTCAGAAAATGAATACATGTTGTGTTTAGCTTTCGTGGCCAAACCTTGTATCTAAGATTGCTGGAGTAGAACCTATCTGTTCAGTTGACGTGGGAGAAGGAAATGTTTTATAGAAACTAAAATAACATTTGCCATTTTGTCCTCCTAGAAGAAAAAAAAAGTTACTTTTTTACTGCATTGTCAGATAATTGATGCTACAAATTTACACAGGTACTAGTCAAAACAGTAACAATATTTTATTAACATGGTGTCTTGCATAAGAATCTAGATAAGTAGTCATCATCTGCAGACAGGTAGGTTTTGACAGTTTTATGGCCTTGGGATAGGTGAACATAATCTTTTTCCACACCTTTGCCAACCATGTTGACTCTTGAACACACAGACTTAAAGGATTAGCCAACATGTGCAGATCATTTCACAGCCTGATGATGCAACCTTGATGTTACTCAATACTGACCAGCTCAATCATAGTCCACATATTGCCAATGACATTTGGTCACTTGGAGGTGGTTTGATTGATAGGCGGTATCTAAAACATGCAACATTAAGGCTATAGATGGATTAGGCATGGATCAGTGAACCCAACTGGTCTACATATGCTGGGGACAGAAAGATTGGGGCTAGAGTAGAAGCAATATCTGGTGCAGGTAGGTTGGTGCAGGGAGTTAGGGGATTATCCTCATCTATTACTAAGGTTGGGGCTAGAGTAGCAGCACCTCTGGTGCAGGTAGGTTGGTGCAGGGAGTTAGGGGATTATCCTTGTCTATTACTGAAAGGTTGGGGCTAGAGTAGAAGCAATATCTGGTGCAGGTAGGTTGGTGCAGGGAGTTAGTGGATTATCCTCTTCTATTACTGAAAGGTTGGGGCTAGAGTAGAAGCACATCTGGTGCAGGGAGTTAGTGGATTATCATCGTCTATTACTGAAAGGTTGGGGTTAGAGTAGAAGCACATCTGCTAGGCCATGGTGTTGGTCGGGGCTTGATACGGCTTGATACGGCTTGATATTTGTTCTCCAGTATTTCATGATGAAGACCCTGGACCGACAGCTTCACCACTTTAGCTGCTCCTATCTCCAAACCTAATTTCTTTCACTCATGTATTTATTTGATTGAAAGGCAATTTTTCAGTGTTGTTACATTGAAATTGGTGTCAAGAAAAAGAAAGCTATGATAGTGAAAGGGTCCGGGGTATTTATCATAACAGAATGTAGAGGCAATACACTGGATAAACGAGGATGGAAACATGGTTTGATAAACAGTATTCTCCATGAGAGATCCTGGCGCTCAGAAAATTGACAGCGGAGGGTGACTTTTTGTTCTAACTAGGGGACACCTTTGAAGACTACTTACAGACCGGTTCAGAAGTTGGTCAGGGGTGGTTATTGTGGCATTATTGCCAGGTCTGTATGGCACTGTTGTGACTGTACAGGGTCGGCTGAATACAGCCCGAGAGAGGCAGGTTTCACAGTGATGGTTATCGGGGCATTATTGCCAGGTCTGTATGGCACTGTTGTGACTGTACAGGGACGGCTGAATACAGCCCGAGAGAGGCAGGTTTCACAGTGATGGTGAATGGCATAGGAGTGGGTATTGTTCCTTTGTGCATGAGAATATGTGTCTCCGAGCTGTCCCACACTCAGCGCAATGTGTGAATCATACCTGGTCATCATCAATTCTGTCTTGATAATAGAAAGCTCACATTTATGGAGTTGCCCTCAGGCGTTTATTGCACTCAGAGTTTTGGGATTAACAGTGTGTGAGCAAGTTCAAATTAGTGTTAAGAGCACTTACACAGTTAAAGGCAAGTCTGTTAGGTCAAATTATATGTAGTTCCCAAGAGCTACTCTCATGGACCACAACAACATCTCCATAACGCCAAGAGCACTTTCTCAAATGATGAAGGAAATTAGCCACTGCAGGTTATCCTCGTGTGTTTTGTGTGGATGGATTAGCTGCAGTATTTGATAATGACCCGCAAGAAAGGCTTGTCTCGACTAATGTGAGCTATTAATTGAGTTGATGTAATCGCTGCTTCTAAGTAGCCGTGGTTAAGCCTAACTGTCATCCATGGGTAATTTGAAGTGAGGGCAACCTGCTACACAACCTTGGCCCAGCCATGTTTCTTGGGTCAAACCTTGTATTTGTTGATGTGTCTCGATACATATCCTAATAATAATCCTTAAACAGGTGTGTTTTCTGTTTAAGAAAACGCATTTTATGGGATTTATGAAATACAAAAACATCTTGGATGTTGTTTGGTTTGCCTCGTAGTTGAAGGGCTCCCTGGTTAGTTTGATTCCCTTGGGTGTGTGAAGTTTCTACCATGATTGGGGGTGGTCGGGTAGCTTAGTGTTTAAATCGTTCGCTTGACACGCCAAAGACCCAGGTTCGATTCCCGACATGGGTACAATGTGTGAAGCCCTTTTCTGGTGTCCCCACTGTGATTTTGCTGGAATATTGCTAAAAGCGGCGTAAAATCAAACTCACTCACTCTACCATGATTGGGTTCTTCTGCTCTGATACTGCTGGATTAATGACGAGCGGCGTAACACTTGACTTCTCTGACTCATTGTATTTTGTAACTGTTTTGAAAGTGAACTCATGTTATGTTTCAGGAAGTGACAATATCTTTCAACACACATCCAACGTGGACCAGATATGAGAAGAAGTTTTCATTAATTCTACATCATAATTCCCTTGGATTCTGCAGTATTACCTCACCATGTCTGTGAACGGAGATTCAGAATATGTCCCCTCCCCCCGGCCTCACCCCCGTGTCCGCCCTGAGGCCATGAGCAATGCGGAGAGGAACCGTGGTGGGATAGAGAAGTGGTTTGACTATTCCGACAACATCAACAACTACAGCTCCCCACGCCCTGGTGTACGGAACGTATCGGCTGAAGCGCAGAAAATAGCTGACATCAACAAAGGTAGCATGAATAATATGATGCAGGGCTACCCTGATCCGCCAATCCAGCGACAGATTCACCCCCGGGGCGTCAGTGGGGAGGCAGCGGAAGTTGCGAACTCCAACAAAGGGGCAGAAATGAGGAGACTTATCGATAACTATGGCAACCTGGAGGTGTCGGACAGACCGGGGAAGAAGGTGAAGGGCAGTGATGCTGAGGAGTATGCAGTCAGGAATAACGGCACCGTCAATAACGTGATGAACAATTACGGCAACCACCCCATGTCCCCTGCCCCACCCGCCAAATTGGGGCTAGGGGGTGAGGAGGTTGCTGTCAAACACAAGGGTGCTGGCATGGGTCCTCTGCTACGGATGGAGGAGAAGAGGTCACCAAAAGATATCAAGATCAGCAGTCTTCATCAGCAGTCTGAAGGGTGAGTCTTTACTTATGTTGGGAATCGATTGCCGTTTTACAAAACTGTTTTGGACACGAGCTTTGAAAGAGAATGTTTCTTTAGTTTATTCGATATGTCAATGTTAAGGAGAGTAAAAGAAATTTATGATTTCAACAATTATACCTTAAAGGGCAACCAGAAACGTCATTTCTGCCATGGCAGCCATATCTAAAATCTTACATACTTACAGGGCAGTGTCTGCATGGATAGGGGAATAATATCCCTCCTTCTGATTGTCGGGGGGTCTGACTTATCCTTGATAAAAAGCCCAAGCTTCATTTTTCCGACAACTGGACCATCGTTTGGACAGATCATGGATCACTTGACCAATATATACCATCTGAAGTTCTGGAATTTTGGAACTATTTGTTCGATATGACAATTTTATACAACATCCAACTCATCATGTCTGTGATGCTGTATTGTGTCATTGACTCACTTTGATATTGGCTCAGACATCTTCAGGTGAGCTACAGTGCCTCAGTATTCTTCTCTTTCTCATCTCGTCTCCCCTTGACATCCACAATATTGTTTGGTGAGGTGGGTAGTGTTCTACTAGTATATGGTTTCCTCAGTGAAACTGACCTACCTGCACAGGACTCCACTCACAGAAGATACACAGCCTTACATGACACCACAGATTTGTGAAGGAGATATCACCTTCGTTACCTGCACTAGTTCAGGTGTACGATTGCAGGTGTAATGCTCTTCGAATACTTCCCTAGAGGAAAACATTACCCTTATAACAATTTACATGTAATATTATTAGACGTGTTTGTAAGTATATGCAATTTAAGCCAATAATTTAAGTAATGATGTTGATATAACCAATTCTCATATGGATATATATGCAAACCTTAGGAGCAATTTGGTTTAGGAAATAATCACTGACAGTGACAAGAAGTTGTATTAAGACTGTTATTTTAGTCATGCTAGCAACACTTTCATTTCATGACATATATAATGCATTCTTCATACTGAGCATTTGTCAGATCTGAATACCGTATACAAGAAACGTGGTCACTAAGATCACGAATGTCACGCACCAGGACAACATATGTCCAAGAACACAAGAGGAATAGTCTTTATTGTAATGTGTGTTTGTCACAACAAAGTGTACAGCTGCTCTGGCAATCAATCTATTTGACAAGAATTGACAAGAGTCAATCTTATTGACAGAAGCTGACAGTGTTGGTAGTTCCCCTTGGGTCTGGTCTAAGCAGCCTCGGTAGGCACCAGTCTTGTAATAATGTGCCCGTCGCTACAGGCAAGGTCTGGTCATCCATCAAACTACATCATAAGATCACATAAATATTTTATAGTGAGGCAAGCCCTTGTGAATTAATAGCTTAATCTTGATTAATGCCTCTTAACCCCTTTAAGCTTGTAAAGTCCTCCCACATAGTATAGAACAAGCTCAGAGCAGTCATGGGTCATAAGTCACAAACACTCCGTATTGGTTTATGATAATTCCTACTAGCCTAGTAACACTAGCATATATTTAGCTGTGTTCAAAGAGTAATAGCTTGATCATTAAATCACCACTAACCTCCTTGAAGCAGTATATATATATAATATATTCAGTTCGACAGATAAATCATATTTCAACATTTCATTCGAAACAACCTTTTTCTATTAAATCTAGTGCAAAAGGTGTACCGGTATATTTTGTTTATAAGATTTGCATAATGACAAACTGTAGCTATGACAATGACAATCCCTGGCCCAGAACATCCAATGATTCATCCTCTCTTCATCTGATGGAGATGTCTAGACATCCCCCTCATAACGCTAACAGCCTGTGTTGTAATGTTACATCGTGCTGCCTGTTGGACCATCCTGATGGGGGTCAGACAGTTGGCAGTCCACAGGGTGACCTGCTGGGCCTTTGTTCTTTACCTCTGTGAGGGCAGTTTCCCTGCTGCACATCATGAACCCTGCAGCTATATAGAAGAAGGCTGCTAATGTGCATGGCATGCTGTCTCAGTGTAATATCTGACCTGTCAGTAGATCTCCATATAGAAACTTTCAAACAATGTTCTGGTAAAACCTTCAAATTTGAGCATGGCATGGCTGATTACACAGGATGAATGTGTTAGGAATGCAGTGAGGCATGGAGATAACATATTGATGCTGACTGCATGAATGTCCTAAAATACATGACAATACATGAATTATTTCTCACTTGCATTCACTCACTTTGAAACTCCACTTCCAGTGTGTCATTGTATGACCTGATGGAGATGGTTACCTTCTGTCACCTGACATGGTGAAATGAGTTTGTTTGATACCTCTCGTTGTATCTGTCAGGGTTTTACAGGACACACAAATGTGCATCCAGTTCACACAAATGTTAAGAATAGATGCAGAAAAAGAATATACTGCATATCTAGGGAGTAGGGACATACAATAATATTCATTGTACCTACAGCGCATCAAGAGCAGAGATGGGTGTCTGTCATTTCATCCATCAATCATGACCACTGTCCACATGATCATCGAATCATTCCAAGAATCATTTTATAGCAGCAGCAGCCATCTTTGATGAAATAATGACAAACAATACTTTACCAGAATACCGTATTCGACGTACTAAGTGCCCAGGGCGCTCTCAAAACCATAAATAGGGGTCTCTTATTACAATATTAGTTTGGTGAAATAATTATTTGGTTGAAAGATCGTTGATTTCGTGCATGGACCCTTGATATGCGTTATTTAGGTCCTCTGGACCCCCACTTTTGTCAGGCAGCCCTGATCTGTACTTACTTCTACAATGTCACAAGTAAAGTGCTTGTTGGTTTTGAAAGTCTAGCTCATGATAATGGAACCCTTCTGACAGTACAGATGTAGAAACTAATGGCATAGTCTTATATATGTGGTACACTAAAGGTGCAGTGCAGCCGATATAAGTCTCTCCTGTTTCCAGTGCTGGAGATTGAGCTTGTCAACACTGAACTTAGGTTTACTGAACACTTACTATAAACATTTATAGGCTCGGCTATGATTGACCTTTATGTTCAATACATGTAGTAGGCCTGCCTGGCTGGGCTATGATTGACCTGTATGTTCAATACATGTAGTAGGCCTGCCTGGCTGGGCTAGGATTGACCTGTATGTTCAATACATGTAGCAAGCCTGCCTGGCTGGGCTATGGTTGACCTGTATGTTCAATACATGTAGTAGGCCTGCCTGGCTGGGCTATGATTGACCTGTATGTTCAATACATGTAGTAGGCCTGCCTGGCTGGGCTATGATTGACCTGTATGTTCAATACATGTAGTAGGCCTCCCTGGGCTAGGATTGACCTGTATGTTCAATACATGTAGTAGGCCTGCCTGGCTGGGCTAGGATTGACCTGTATGTTCAATACATGTAGTAGGCCTGCCTGGCTGGGCTAGGATTGACCTGTATGTTCAATACATGTAGTAGGCCTGCCTGGCTGGGCTAGGATTGACCTGTATGTTCAATACACGTAGCAAGCCTGCCTGGCTGGGCTATGATTGACCTGTATGTTCAATACATGTATCAAGCCTGCCTGGCTGGGCTATGATTGACCTGTATGTTCAATTCATGTAGTAGGCCTGCCTGGCTGGGCTAGGATTGACCTGTATGTTCCATACATGTAGCAAGCCTGCCTGGCTGGGCTATGATTGACCTGTATGCTCAATACATGTAGTAGGCCTGCCTGGCTGGGCTAGGATTGACCTGTATGCTCAATACATGTAGTAGGCCTGCCTGGCTGGGCTAGGATTGACCTGTATGCTCAATACATATAGTAGGCCTGCCTGGCTGGGCTAGGATTGACCTGTATGTTCAATACATGTAGTAGGCCTGCCTGGCTGGGCTAGGATTGACCTGTATGCTCAATACATGTAGTAGGCCTGCCTGGCTGGGCTAGGATTGACCTGTATGCTCAATACATGTAGTAGGCCTGCCTGGCTGGGCTAGGATTGACCTGTATGCTCAATACATGTAGTAGGCCTGCCTGGCTGGGCTAGGATTGACCTGTATGCTCAATACATATACAGCTACGTGTTGAACATTACGCTAACGTCTTGTGTTTCTTGTCAGTTTGGTGACAGCCTTACCCATCGCGGCAGTGTGCTGACATCATGACATGTTGTAGAAGTGCTATGTATGTAGCTTGTAGGTGATGCCACCCAACACATGATCCGGGCACGGCCATCTACACAAGAAATGAACTTCTTTGCAATGTAGCAATAGCTTGCCATAAAATATGCAGGTCAATCACACCCATTGTCTTGGAGGTAATATCCAAACATGTCTCAACATGTGTGATGAAATATTCCCTCTAAGATACATGTGTTTTTCAGGGGCACAAGTGGCCTAGTTGTCTGAGCTGTTTGATCTTAGGGTACAGGTTTGTGGCCCTTAGCTGTACCAGGATCCCCTAGTCTGGGTTCAAGTCCCTGGTTGGTGTGCTGTCACCACAGCCCTACTTGTGGCTTTCTCCAAAGTGACAAACATCTACGATCACGTTGTACTTTCATCTCCTCGTACGCTAACATGCCGTGACGTAACTGAACATTGGCCGTGGTCTTTAATACTTGGAACTTGGATAAACATCAGGAAGCCCAGTGTCACTAGAAGACTACCATATAATTATGAAAATACTTTTTCATGGCATTTTGAGCCCTCTGGAGGGTGAACTAATCCATAGATTGTCGAAAACTGCTACCGTATTCGAAGTAATAAGCGCCCACGGCATTATTTGCTATTGGCAAGTGAACAATCCCAATTAGCACCCCTTCTGATTGATCAATGTTCACAAAACTTAAATATATTCATGTATAATACGCACTCGTGTGTTATATGCACACTTAATTATTGGCAATTAAATTCTGGAAAAATATATCTGTCGTATATAAACATTTCAGGCTGTCAGCACAAACCATGAAATTAACGACCAAAATAATATTCTAATAAGAGCCCCCTATTTATTATTTTGAAAGCGCCCC